CGACGTATCTTTAAAATTAACTATTTATTCTATTTTTTTTTTTTTTTTTTTTTTACGCGAAAGAACTGCTTGACAGCCGATTGCCGGAATCGAATTGTCGTCGAATATCTTTTCACCATTGCCAAGTTGCGATTCACGACAGATAGAATTCTCATTAGTTTCCTGATACCTTCTGCAGAATTCGACCAACTTTTCAATCGATTTTGCCTGATTTTTATCAGACCACCTTTATTTTTGTCACAGTGGTTGAATATTGCCACTATAAATCTTGGGAATATACTTTGTTAGACGTGACAAAAAACCTCACTCCGAATACAATACTTGCAGAGAGGAAAGGAGTCTTTATTGTATCTTGAAGAAGTAGCCTTGAAGGCTGTAAAGATTTTTTTCACGCTTAGGGGAGAAACTTGATCTTGTTTGCTTAACCGCTACGCGGTATTATGAGACCAGCCGAATTACAGGAGAAAGAAAAAGAGTTGTCCACGAACAAAGAAATAATATTAGCGAACTTAATTAAGAGAAATAATAAGGAATGACATTATTTATGAAATCACAGAATTTATCTGAAGGATTTAGAACAAAACGGAATGCATTTCTGAAAGATGACAGTAGGAAGCAACAAATAAATATATCCTTTCAATCTCTAAGAAATATTTATCGGCGATATGTAGAACTTTGCATGTTTGGCTTTACGACGAATCCAGGATGTGAAGTTTCAAACTGTCCTAAAGAAGGCTAAAGCCCATTTATCCGCCTGCTAGCTCCGTGATGTGTGAAAACTTCCTTTAATAAAACAATGGAATTTTGAGATATTGGCACTATTTCAGACGTCGATAGCAGTTTCCGCGCTGAACTAGATTGTCCTATCAATTTTTAGTCGTCCAGAGAGAGGGAGAGAGAAATGGTCTTTTTCTCTTTCGGTATATGTTCGCGAGAGCCTCTCTCTGGTAACTAAAAAATGATAGTTACGACGTGCCTGCTATCTAAATAGGTCGCTAAGTCCGGTGTGAAAAATCTCGTTTCGCGGAATATATTCATGTGAGAGAAATAGTCGACTTCCGAATTCTTCGGCGCTATCGATCGAATAGAAAAAAAAACAAGATCTCGAGAGGAGATCTCGGATCTAAGATCACGCCGGCTGATCTGCATGAGATGTTGTAAATTTAAAAAAAACGAAACGCGTGGAGACGCGTGAAGATCTCACAGATGTGTCGAGACGGGAAAATTTCCTCTGACGTCATTTTGGTTCCTATCGGCAGAAACGCGAGAAGGTCGTGTCCCGCCCCTTATCACGAGTTTTCATCTTTCGCAATGGAGTCCGCGTACGATCACGTATACGTTTCGCGCCGTATAAAGGCGAGTGCAGTGCTAACAGCTCTATCTGCATTTCCCACATTTTGGCACGCTATCGGAATACGAGCGGTATGTATATGGCCGCAGGAAGTTGATACTCCATATTGCCTCAACATCGTGGAATGCCAAGGTATTTACGTCGCTTGTGTATACGGGTCCGTCTCGTATAGCGGTCTCGAGACAGGCGAGATGTTTGGTCCGGGTTTGCATGCGATGTCGCACCGGCAGATCCACGCTGAGAGCGGGGTACACTTGCCTTTATGCACGTGTATGTGACGAACGTGGGCTCAACAAGCATCTCTGTATTCCCCGGTTTACGCATACACACACGAAAGACATACGTCGCGCTGCGCGCGATGCAAGTGAGATTAGAATCGCCATTATAACTCTGTCTGTCCGCATGTTTGGTTGCGTCTGAGGAATTTCATCCCCTGAGAACTGTAAATTTGAACTACTATTTCAAACATTTTGAGCAGTAAGCCAATTTTTTTAACAAATTTTTCGCTTTTGTTCAATCGTTATGTAGAGTAGATATTGATCGTACATATTGACCTGAAATTATATTGGCTTAACATTTAATTGTAAATTGTGTTTGATATCTGAATTATTCGCTGAAAAGTTCGCGGTCGATTTCGTAACGCCAAATAAAAAGTTAGAAATCGAAGGGAAAGTACCTTGTTTTTAAGGACTAATATGTGACTTTTATTATGTCGGTCAGACTTTTATTTAGTTCTAGAGGAGGTCACTTAAATCCCCTGCGTTATTTATCATGCATTCCATTAATTAGGGCAACCTTGATTATATCACAGATAAACTGCATGATTTATCCAGCCTACTCTCTCACCTTTCACGCTTCCATTCCATGCTCTTGTTATCTTCCTTTGGAACACGAACACGAAACCTCATCTCTGACCTTTAACTACATCATCATTGAAATCAGAACTTAGAAATCACTAATTCGCCACTTCTAAATTAGAAGTTGAGAGGTCGCGGTCAAGGCTTAGCTAAACATTTTCCAGGTCGTACACGAAATCCGTCTACTAAATGTAAATCGGGAATGTAAAATTGTTCAATTGTTTACTGACTTTAGTAACAGTATCTTAATTGGTTCGCTTCTAATATCATGCAGTTTCACGATGAAACTACGGCTTCGTTAGTAAGTTAGAAATACTCTCTTGTCGAAGTGGTTATCAATCGTAATTGCTTC